AGGAACATGACATCAATAGCAAAGTGCTTACCTTAGCTCTCTATATACAACTTGGAATTGACACGAGAAAACTGGCAGGCTCGAGCATCACCTGCTAATCCCACACACTTTGGTGAGACTGGGACGGTGGGCAGCATGCTTGAGCTCAGGACTTTGAGCTCATCCTGGGGTACACCTGGTGCAGAAACCCTGTCCCTACAAAACAACAAACAAACAGAAACAAAAACCATTAAAAATAGCTGGGAATGGGGGGTATGTGCTGTCGTTCCAGCTACTCAGGAGGAGCTGTGATTGTGCCACTGCACTCCGCCTGGTTGGACAGAGCAAGACCCTATTCTCAAAACAAATTAAAAAAAAAAAAGATTGACATGGCCTCTGGATAAGGAGACACTGCAAATTTGTGAAGCATTCTATATTGTTTAAAAGTATTTGGCTGGGCCGGGCCCGGTGGCTCAAGCCTGTAATCCCAGCACTTTGGGGGCCACAAGGGCGATCACGAAGATCGAGACCATCCTGCTAACACGGTGAAACCCTGTCTCTACTAAAAAATACAAAAAACTAAGCCAGGCGAGATGGCGGGCGCCTGTAGTCCCAGCTACGGGAGGCTGAGGCAGGAGAATGGCGTAAACCCAGAGGCGGAGTTGCAGTGATGCTGAGATTGCGCCAACGGCACTCCGAGCCTGGTGACAGAGCGAGACTCGTCTCATAAAAAAAAAAAAAAAAAAATTGGCTGGATATGGGTGACCCATGCCTGTAATCCCAGCATTTTTGGAGGCCAAGGCAGAGGATGACCTGAGCCCAGGAGTTGAGACCAGCCGTGGGCAACATAGTGAGACCCTTCTCTACAAAAATTTTTAAAAAATGAGCTGGGCATGTAGCAGATGCCCGTAGTTCCAGCTAGCCTACTCAGGAGACTGAGGTGGGAGGATCACTTTAGCCCAGGAGTTGGAGGCTGCAGTGAGCTGTGATTATACCACTGTACTCTAGCATGGGTGACAGAAGGAGACCCTGTCTCTAAAAATAAAAACAAAAATAAAAAAATATGTGCAGGGCTGGGCATGGTGGCTCACAACCTGCAATCTCAGTGCTTGAGAGGCCAAAGTGGGAAGATCCCATGGAGGCCAGGAGTTTGAGACCAGCCTGGGCAACATAGCACTGATCCTGCTCTACAAAAAAAAAATAATTAGCCATTGTGGTGATGCACACCTCTAGTCCTAGCTTATTAAGGAGGCTGAGACAGGAGGATCCACTGGGGCCCAGGAGTTCAAGGTTACATTGAGCTATAATGGCACCACTGCACTCCATCCGGCTGACATAGCAAGACCCCGTGCTAAAAAAATTTTTTTATGCAGTTTATTTTATATCAATCATGCCAATAAACTGTAAAAAAAATCCCAAAATTAATAACAAAAACCATGGCACTCCATTGTCCTGCTTTAATGATCAGTCATCTTCTAAATCTCTCAGTGTTATAGGTTCAAGTTCACTTATCTGCCTATGCTGTATTCCAGAAATATACAGAAATCTCCAGAGGTAAGTGATTTCTCTTTGTGTTGGATTTGAACTTTTTAGTGGACTTAGTCTCCAAAACAAATAACAGATGTTACCTATAAATGGTGAAATAATTCTATGAATTACTTTTAAATTTGTCATATGATAAATGAGATATTTTTGCTTGGTCAATAGAGCTCCCTTTTCTTCTAGGTAATTATTTTTGCTAATAACTTTGAATCCTGAGAGATTAACATTTTTTTTTTGTTTGTTTTTTTTGAGACGGAGTCTTGCTCTGTCACCCAGGGATTGGAGTGCATGTGGCCCAATCTCGCTCACTGCAAGCTCCACCTCCCAGGTTCAATGCCATTCTCCTGCCTCAGCTCCTGATGCGGGACTACGGCGCCTGCCAACCATGCCTGGCTAATTTTCTGTATTCTTTTAGAGAGATGGGGGTTTCACCATGTTAGCCAGGATGGTCTCGATCTCCTGACCTTGTGATCCGCCCACCTCGGCCTCCCAAAGTACTGGGATTACAGGCGTGAGCCACCACACCCGGCCCCGAGATTAACTATTAAATGTGGATTTCTTTGGTATGTGTTAATTGCTAAGGCTAAGGAAACAGAATGTTGTCTGAATCCAATATTCACTCTAAGCATAGCAGGAGCCTGCCTAGAGGTGAGTTCTCGGATTTTGATACTTTAGTAAAATTGCTACTGGGACTAGGAGATAGTTTAAAAACTTTAGTATATGAAACATACTTATTTTGCTTCTCTGGCCTTCTAGGCAATTGCAATTTTATGGTGAAAACAGAGTAAAAATACATCTTAAACTATTCATACCAAAAAGATCAAATTAAAAACCTTCCTGATTAACAGAGTACTAGGGAGAGTGATGTATTTTCTAGCTTAGTAAACAGATTTTAAGAGAAATATAACAGCTATTTTCTAACCAGACCAAATAGCACAAAATTAGGCAAAGCATAGGTCAGGACGTGTATGGGAGAGCTTTTATATGTGGGAAATGCCATTGGGTTTTATTGGGCCCACTTTAATAATAAAAATAACTTCTGTATGTTAAACGCTTACTATTTTCCAACTATGCTGAGTGCTTTACATACTTTATCTCATTGGTCCTCATCAATCTATAAGAGGGATAGTATTAGGCCCATTTCACAAAAGAGGAAATTGTGGTTCAAGGTCAGGAAATAATTTGTTCAAGTTACACGGTAAGTAGAAGAGCAGGGTTTTTTTTTTTTTTTTTTTTTTTCTTTCTTCTTGAGACGGAGTCTCACCCTGTCACCCAGGCTGGAGTGCAGTGGCACGATCTCGGCTCACTACAACCTCTGCCCCCCAGGTTCAAATGATTCTCCTGCCTCAACCTCCTGAGTAGCTGGAATTACAGGTGACTGCCACTGTGTCCAACTAATTTTTTTTTTTTTTTTTTGAAACAAAGTTTCACTCTTGTTGTCCAGGCTGGAGTGCAGTGGTGCAATCTCGGCTCACTGCAACCTTCGCCTCCTGGATTCAAGCAATTCTCCTGCCTCAGCCAGGGTTTCACCATCTTGGCCTGATTGATCTTGAACTCCTGA